CTTCCTAAATAATTAGTGGTATATACGATCTTCTTTCTTAAAATGTCTCATTTTTACAGAACTATTCTTTCACAAAATAAATTTAAAAGGCTCCTAAATGCTGCGGCAATGTCAAATTACTGTTACTATTTGTAACAGTTTATCCTTAATGCATGCATTTATCACATACCAATAGCAAACTGCCTGTAAACCAACTACCAGTCTATAGACAAAACTCTTATGGCAGTTTTTTTTTTTTTTTTCTTATGGCAGTTTTGTTGGCCAAAAACAAGATGTAGATTTTGGGACACTCTGGCTTCCTTCAAATTCATCATGGCCTTAAAAAGTTAGGATTATTTCTGGTAAACCAACAGTATTTTAAGAAAAAAAGTCACTTTACATAAAAATATGAGCAAACTGAGAAATGGGTAAAATATTAATAGACATATACCACATTTATCACTAACTTCTTTCCTTGCATTAATTAACAAGACAATGGATCGCAAGTTGCATATCAGAAACAATTAACTGAATGTATTAAAAACAACTGGGCTTGCATAAAGGTCTGACAGAAGAAACCACTGAAGCACGGAAGAGGAAGCAAGCCCAAATTTGTTTTTTTTTGAGATATTTTATTCCATACAAATTCATTTCTTTTCAGGTCTAAAAAGTTCAAAATAGATCGTGCTGAGTTAATTAAATCACATGCGGCTGCGTGATCTAATTTGGTTCCCAAAATACATTTGTATACAAATCCATATGTCTAGGCATCTGAGTACATATGCTTACATCCAAGTCTATTTTTTTTTGTTGAGATTAATTATATTCACTTTAGCAAAAAAAGGCAAGATTAAGTGTAATTGCTCCCATAAAGACAGTAATAGTTCAAAAAAGCTATGTTAATATATAGGACAGAATTTTATAAATTCATTTTACTATATGTAAGCCTTGTTTAACTTTCTTTTTTTGTTTGCTTTTTAGAACACAGTCTTCCTATGTACTTCAAGTGGTCTTGAACTTAGTATAGAGCCCAGGTTGGCCTCGAACTCACAGTGATCCTCCTACCTCAGCCTCCCAAATGCTGGGATTGTAAGTGTGCACCACCACACTCTGCAACCTTGCTTAACTTTCAAAACAATAAGGTCATTTGTTCATACAATCATGACTTTAACTCAATGCATGAAGAAAACCCTATTATCCATGCAAAATGACTATCCATGTCAAAAAGTACATTAGAAAAATAACAAAAAATAACTAAATCTACATGACAAGAGACAGAAAAATAAAGTTATTTTAAAAACCAAACGTTTCTGAAATTCGCACATTGTAATACAAACTTTCCTTATTATATCATCTTCCAATTTCCTAAAAGCAGTGGAACTGTTTTTGAAATCCTCATTTACTCACAATGCTGCCCCTCAAAGATTCCATTTTGAGAAATTGATTTTTAAATTTTTCCTAGTAGTGTTCATTTCACTTTTCTTTTTTTTTCTTTTCTGCTCTTAAAAGTATCCACTAGAGCCCCGAGAAGCATCAATAGGGGAAGATGCTTCTTCCTTGCAGGAGAAATACACAGTTAAATAAAAGGACAGCTGGATGCCAATTATGATGGATAAAACAGAACCACTTTTCTTCAGCTATTCTCCGCTCTCACCCAGAACTCTGCTGAGCTGCCTATCTCCTGGTTTCAGCCCCTGCCCAAACTGAGCTGAGAGTGCCCAGTGGCTTGCTAACCCCAGACAGAGAGGGTAGGAGGGCAGCCAAGTGCACCTGAAGTTGCTGGACCTCACTTTCCCTGCCTATAGGAAAGGAAGCAGGCCTAAGGAAAAATTCAAATCCCTTCTTTCTGTCTCACACAAAACAGCGCAGGCTATCATTCAGTTTTCTGCTGGGAGTGTGAGATATTGGCACAAAACATTTAAGTAAGTCTAGATTCCAACTAACTTTGGCTCAAAGGCCTAGAAACTGTGTTATTGTTTCTTAATAAATGGAGATGAAAACTTCAAGAATTCATAAAGGCTTTAAGAAGCAACAGACTAGAACTCACACAGGCTCACATAATTATCTTCTTCTCCTTCAGAACAAAAAGCAGGAAAATTATGTAAGACTTAATAAGATTCAAAACAAACAGAACTCCTCTGTCACAATTTATATATAATGAGATAAAATCACTTCTGTAGAATAAACATGCTATGTCTGAATACAAATTTTTGAATAAGGCTACACACAATAAATCATCATCTTTTCTTCACTTACCTACTGAAATAGCCAGGTCAACATTGGTGGAAAACCTACTTAGATACTTTAATACAATCTCCAAACACCCTTCTTTGTTGAATATAGATACTGCTCTACTACTGCATTCACTAAATTGAAGGGGGGAAAAAAAGTTTTACTATTCACATTAACATTAAGAAATCAACCACAGAAATCCATAAAAAAGAACAAATTAAGCTTTATAGAATCAAAGAGTTTGAGCAAACAACCACCATTTTCATAGCAGAAGAAACAAATGCCCACTCATATTCATTGTACTTAAGAACTGGCTATCTATATTTTATTTCCATCATGGTGGGCTCTCTATCTTTTATCATGGTTTCCTCATGAAAGTTTACAGCTGGAGACCTCGGGATTCCCTAAATCCAACTCCCCAGTTTACAGACGAGAAAACCCAGGCTTTAAAAGATACAGTAATCTGTCCAAAGATCATACATCTTGCTAGTGATGGAGCCAGGCCCAGAATCTAGGTTCCATGGGTCCATTACAACACAATAATAAGTTCAAGTAAGGACAAAAGGCTTATTACAAAAAAGCACAGATTTAAAAGAAAATTACATTTTATTCATTCCTTCTAGATTGCATCAGCAGAATTTGTAATTTGCAACAGAGAAATCACTCTGATGATTATATCCGAAATTCTACTACTCTTTTGAGACAGGGTGTTACTGTGTAGTTCAGGCTGGCCTTGAACTCACTATGTAGCTCAAGTTGGCCTCAAACTTGCAGTAATCCTGTCTCAGCCTTCTGAGTACTGGAATTACAGTTCAGAGAACTATCAATGTTACTAATAAGCATACACACCAAATACAAGGTAAACAGAGCTAATTTTAACAATTTTATCCATGTTTCCAGAGAAAGATACTCCTCTACCCATATACACATGATACAGTAACAGAGTTGACTACATTATTAAATTAAGTCTATTTTGGGAAAAAATATTTTCTGTTTGTTGCCTGTATTTATCTATATACCTAGTTTCTGCAACATTCAAATTTAGTCAGAAGGCAAAGCACATATGGATAAAGATAACTTGAAACATAAACTATGAAACAAAAATATTAAGATCTGTAATAACTATAAATAATAAAGCATTCCACAGAAAGAAATCACTTTGGAGATCTATTCGGGCTCTTTTCAAAGAAATTAAAAGAAAAGAATTTCATGGCAGGCATGGTGACACTGGTTTGTAATCTTAGCACTCTAGAGGGCGAGGCAGGAAGATCACAAGTCTGAGACCAGCCTGATCTATACAGTAAGACTTTGTCTCGAAATACAGAAACAAAATCCAGTTGGACAACTTATAGAAGTTGGGAGTGTAGCTCAGTGGTAGAGCACATGCTCAGTATCCACAGAGCATGGTTCTCAGGTTTCACCCCAAGTACAACAAAAAAACAAGTTAAATTTATTTGGTGCACAAAAACAGCACCAATGAGTTTGCACAAATGCCATTTCCTTAAGTCTGATCTACTGTCGTTTCCAGTGGAATGCACTAATTCAAAATGAAACCACAAGCACATTCAGACTGCTCCACAGGCAGCTTTTCAGGATTCAACTTAAATCTTGCATTGTAAGAATCACTTGTGCTTTTCAGTCAGTGTGATAAATGCTGCCTACTGAAAATAAGGAGCTATGACAGAATCCAGGTACAGTTATGGACAGAAAATGGGACAAAAAAAGGTAAATCCAAGTTGTGTCTCTTGCCATTTCCATCCCCAGCAGCCGATCCACCCTCCCCCACCAGGGCCACAATCATGGAATGGAAAGCGGCCTTCTCCTACTGGGCCTGAGGGAGCTCTTCTTGGGCATCTACTTCTCACTCAAACTGTCACTTCCATGAAGAGGAGTAAAGCACACCATGGTTTGTGGTCCCTCTCTCATTCCAGATACCAACGCAGGTAGCACTGGGCCAACTAGCTGCCGCTGGGGGTATCCAGGAGCTAGGGAGAAAGGAGGGACAGCACGTGCTAATGGTCATGACCCCTCATTTTTGTCAAGAAGACATGTTTAAACAAAGATGCAGTGAAGTGATGAGGAAAAAAGAGCCTGGGAAGGACAGCTATCTCAGGTAACCTGGTACTACCTCCTACCACGTCATTACCTTCATGGAATCACAGGGCTGCATGGGAGCAGAGGGTTCTACACAGTTTAACAGAAAGAACAGCAGCCTTAGTAGTGATGTAACTCAAGACTATGCTTGGAGAGTATCATACCATATATTCCACAGCACGTTCACAGCCTCATTGGCTATGTTCTCAGTAGCATTTCTGTTCTGATCTTTTTTCTCCTGTGAGGACACCTCATTTGAATCCAGTCCAGCACTGCACTGCAACCAAATATCATGATTAGTACCCTGGTTCAAAAGAATGATTAAATAAAAAGCTAATGACAGTGAAGAATCACAAAAACTAAACATCAGAAATTATAGTTTAGTGGTTAACAGGACTATCAAATTCTCATAAGCACCACAATTCCTACAAGCCTATGTTCCTTTAGCAAGAAATACAGACAAGAAAAGTTCCCAAGTCATTGCGAAAACTGGATATAAAGCATTTCACATTTTTAAATGAAAATGAAAATTCAGTGCAAAGTATTTTACCTAATGCGATAAAAACCAGTGAGGAAGGCAAAAAAAAAAAAAAAAAAAGCCAGGCATGGTGGTACACACCTGTAATCCCAGCACCAGGGAGGCTAAGGCCAGAGAACTACTCCAAGTTCAAGGCTAACCTGGGCCTAGTGAGTTCAACACCATTCTAAACTACATAGCAAGACCCCCTTCTCAACCCCTCCCCAAAAAGGAATGTAAAGAAATACAAGCAGGCCAGGGATATAGCTCAGCGGCACAAGCACCTGCCTGATAAGTGCAAGGTCCTGAGTTCGATTCCCAGTACGAAAAAAAAAAAAAAATAAAAGAAATACAAGCAGTAACATCTGTATAGTGCCTGATCTACTATAAGATAGTATGTATCTATGAACTTTACATGTATCATTTAATCCTATAACAAACCTATAAAGTGAATAAACTTTTTTCCCCCCTATCACTGGGGATCGAACCCAGGACCTTCACACTAATTTACACACCCAGCCCATTTTTATTCTTTGAGACAGGGTCTTGCTAAGTTGCCCAGGCTGTACTTGAACTTGTGATCCTCCTGCCTCAGGCTCTCAGGCTGCTAGGATTACAGGTATGTGCCACCACATCTGGCTTGAGGTAGATGAACTATCATCCCAATCTCCTGACACCAATAGGAAACTACAGGAGGCTGAGGAAAAACTTTGTATGTGGTAAAGCTAGCCTTCAGCTGCAGGCATTCTGTCCCCAACACTGGTGCTGTTAGCCACTCTGCAGTACTTCCCCTTTAGTACAGTGAATAGCACCCTCTAAAACAGAGCTGCTCCACCTAGGGCTTCTATGTTATTGACATTCTGGGCCGGATAACTTTGTTGGGGAGTGGGGGCTGCCCTCTGCACTGTAGGAGGTCCAGCAACACCTTGAGCCTCTCCACTGGACACCAGAAGTAATGCTTTCCCCATAAGCTTCAAACACCAAAAACGTCTCCATATAGTGCCAGACATCCCCTGTAGGGTAAAATCACCCTCAGCTGAGAATCAGGAAACAGAACTGGTGCTGCACATTAAAACTAAATATACTTTATGTAGCCTTTAGTGAAAATTACCCTTCAACACAGAGCGGCACGCCAGAGGCAGTCAGAGAGAGTGAGCTCCTCTGCACACTGAACTACAGCGTGTAACAGGAATAGCGTGATATTAAGCTTGAGAACACAATGCAGTCTTCACAATAGATTCATAAGGTGTCCTGGCTGTCATACATAAAATGGGAATAATAATACTGGCCTCAGGGCTGGGGAGTGTAGCTCAGTGGTAGATCATTTGTCTAATACATGCGAGATCTCAGGTTTGAATCCCAGGCAAGAAAAAAGCTAAAAACTACCTCATAAAAACAAAACAAAACAACACTACCTGCTTTACAGGATTGATGTGAGGATTAAATATACACACAATAAAAACATGACTTAGCTCATAAATAGGCAAAGCATAAATACTATTTATTTTTATTATATGAAATTTAAAATCTAAAGGAGTCTGTAGTTTTAGGAAGGTCTTTTCCAACTATCACATAAACAAAAAAGTACTGTGGACAAAAAACCAGATTGCTATTAATGATAAGAGATCAGTGTTTCCAACAAAAGAAACTCCTATAGGATGTTTTGCTTTTATCTGCTTGTTTTAAGCGGGTAGACAGGGTTTCACTATGTGGTTCAGGCTGGCCTTGAACTTACTATGTAGCCCAGGCTGGCCTCAAACTCATGGCGATTGATCTCCTCCTGCCTCAGCTTCCCGAGTGCTGGGATTACAGGAGAGTGCCACCACACCCAGCAATCGGAAGCAAAGTAATGAACACTCAAGTACTGAAGAAAAAGGATCTGTCTAAGCTTGTCTCCTACAGACTGACTTGAAGCTGCCATTTGAGACACTGTAAAAATTGTATACCTCTTTCAGCAGGGCCACGAGAGGAGTCATGATGTCCTTAGTCACCATGTCGTCACACACTTCAAAGCCTCCGCAAGCACTGAGGTTTCTACGTAAGAAGTTTAAAACAAGTTTTATTTTCAGACCATACATCACAAACTGATTTCTATTTTTAACCACACTTAAGGTTTCCCAAAGGAAGTCATTGTTTTTTCCGTCATATGCTGAAGAAGCAATCCACAGAATTCTACCTGCTCTAGTTCTTATTCTATAAAATGTAAACAAATGACTGTCAAGCAACAGCTTAATTCTTTGGTCACAGATGCATGGCTACAGGAAAGGGAAGACTTTTCCTACTTAGCATGAATAAGCTGCATCTTGTATGAACAGAACATTTTTGGAATCTAGACTACAAAGGGGTCTCACTGGTAGAGCACTTGCCTAGATACACAAGGCCCTGGGTTCGATTTCTAGTACTGTACAAAAAAGAAAAAGACTTCAAGTGCAGCAAGGAGCAAGGTGAGGCTACCAAGAAGGACACATCTGAAGCAGCCCTGGTTAAATTTAATTTGATTGGAAGGTCCCTGCTTGTGGTCTGAATGCACAGCTCTGTGTATGCAGACACTAAGAATGTAGACATAAGATGCAAGATGCCCCAACAATTTCCCAGGGCTGCCCAGCTTGTGAGTGTTTTGGAGGAAGAGTAGGGCTTTCCACATGTACTTCCCTCCCTGGGGGCAGAAGGACATCCACCTGTGCTCGCCTAAGTGACTAATCCTACTCATTCCCAGGTCTCACCTCAGTCACTACTCACCCAGGGTTTTCTTCCCTGAATCGCTAGTTACACCCTCTCATGGCATCCTCTACAATTACCACTAAGTTTAATTATACACATATGAGATCTGGATATTCAGTTTATGTTCATTTCTCTCAATAGACTTTTAGATTGATTAATGACAGCTGGGCATGGTGGTGTATGTCTGTAATCCCAGCATTTAGGAGGCTGAGACAGGAGAACTGTTACAAAGGTCAAAGCCAGCCTGGGCTACACAGTGAGTTCAAGGCCAGCCTGAACTACATAGTAAGACCCTGTCTCAAAAAAACAGAAACTAAAAGGTGTTGTGGGGGAGAGGGCTGGGGATATAGCTCAGTACAAAGTCCCTGGGTTCAAGCTCTAGTACTCAAAAAAAAGAAAAGATTCATTAATGACAGAAATTATGTCTATTTTACTCACTACCCCATGTTTAGAGCCCAGGCTAGTGCCTGACACACAGTAGGCACTTGGTATATATTTACTAAGTCAGTGATTGCCATAAATAATATAGATAGACAAAGCTATAGGAACTACAGCTGAGTATGGTGGCACATGCCTATAATCTCAGCACTAGGGAGGCGGAGGCAAGAGGGTCATGGGTTTGAGGCCTGCCTGGGCTATTTAGAGACACCATCTCAAAAAATCTAACAAGGCAAAAAACTATACTCTTGCCCCCTCTACAGTCCATTCTCTGCACAGCCAACAGAGTGGCCTTCTCAAAAAGTAAATTACAGCTGGGGTGTGGTAGCCTACACCAGTAATCCCAGAGCTCAGAGAGACAGAGCAAGAAGATTGAAGGTTTGAGTCCAGCCTCGGTGACTTGGTGGGACCCTGCCTCAATATAAAAAATAAAAAGGGCTGGGGATGTAGCTCAGTGCAAAGGCCATGGGTTCAATCTTCAGGACTGCCAAAAACAAACAAACAAAAAAGCCAGGTGTGCTCGTGCACAGCCGTAATCTCAGCACTCTACAGGCTGAGGCAGGAGGTTCACTGCAAATTCAAGGCCAGCCTTAACTACACAGTGAGATTCTGTCTCAAAAGAAAAAGAAAAAATAATAATAAAGTAACTTGGTCATGTCATTCCCCAGCTTAGAGTTAGTGCTTCAGCTCTATCCCTTGCTACATCTTGTCCATCCTCCACTCCCCCCTCCTATACATAATTCCCTACCCCTACTCTACTTGGCTACACTAACCTTTCTGTTCTTTAACCACGCCAAGCTTCGAACTGTCCCACTTCTCTGCCGTTGCTGTTCCCTCCGCGGGGAATGCTCCTCCCTTGTTTATCCCATGGCTCTCTCACCTTCTGGTCTGGGTTCATAAATGTCAACCAGTCAAGGCTCAGTGTAAACTTCCAATCCTCAACTCATCACCCTCTTGGTTTTCCATAACACTTCTCACTAGTACTATCTGCTCTTTTACTAGGTGCTTGTCTCGCCCTCAGCCTAGCTTCTGTAAAGACACGGCCCGTGGCTGTCTTGCTCAACGTCGGCCTGCTCAAAATCCCTTGCACTTAAGAGCACTTCACGGCTCACAGACTGGAAGAGTGCGTCCGACACCGGGACTGCACGGAGTGTTTTTGGAAAGGGGAAAATGTGCATAAGTCTGAGGACAAAATGCCTTAGCAGGCGGTTGGCACAGGTGGCAGACGGGCTGCATGCAGTACTGGGTCCCCTGGAGCCTACAGATTGTCCACATCCGCCCGCTCGCCCCGTGAGAGCCGGGCAGGATTTTCGCCCTTCCAAGAGCACCGAGGATGCATGGGGAGGGGAGGCCCAGCACCGAGGAAGCGCTAGCCTACCGCCGCGACTCCCGGACCCCAGGAGCGGGGCCCGCTCCTGGCTCACCTCAGCGCTCCAGCCGCCGTCTCCCTGACTGCCAGGCTGGGGTCCAGCAGCAGCGGCCCAAGCCGGCGCACTGCATCGCGGCGGGCCAGGCCCGGGAGCGCCGGGCGCTGCTGCACCAGTCGGGCCAGCCCCGCGCAGGCGCACTCGCGGACCTCGGCGCTCGGGTGCTGGAGCTGCGGACAGAGCGAGGAGTCAGAGGCGGCGCAGTGCGCACGCGCTTCCGGACCCACAGCCCACCCCGAACCCCGCGCTCCAGCCGGGGTGAGGCTCCGGCCTCACCTTTTCCAGAAACTCCGCCACCGGCCCGTCGTCTTCCTCGTCTCCAGTCCCATTTTCCCCTGCTGCCGCCTCAACCTGACAGTTGCCCGTAGGGGAGAACTGAGGTCGCTTGAAGCGCTTCGTCCGGCTCTTGCCCATAGCGACGTGCGCTCTGGTAGTAGGACGAGCAAGGAAAGCAGCAGCAGCTCGTGAGAGTGGCCGCACTGGTGCTAAGGCCTGGTTGCCAGGGGGATTCGTATCTCTGCTCAGATGGGCTAGCTGACGGCCCCAGTACACATGGGAAAGCAGCGCGCATGCGCGCAATACGTTGCCGGGCGGGAGGGCTGGCGCAGGGAATGCGCAGGCGTAGAAGAGAGCGTGGGCGGGGCAGCCTGTCCGGGGCGGAGTCCGCTGGATTTTCCTGGGAATAGCAATACCCAATCCACCTCCATCCCCTGAATCCCTGTTAGGTCAACTCTATGTGGAAGAAAAGTTCCCTGTAATGGTGACTCTACCCTCAAAGAGTTGACTGTCTTCCGAGGGAAAGAGCATTAATTTGTGTAGCATATTTTAGAGAACAATCACAGAGGTATAGCTCCTTTTTTGTTTGTCTTTTTGTTTTGTTGTTTTTTTTTTTTTGGTTTTT